TTTGATTTTTTCTTCTTTTATCAATACGATCTTGAGTCATGTGTGTTGCTCTATCTTTTCCCCGTTTCTTGTTTAATCTTTTTTTAGACATTCCTTCAATACGATCATTTTTTTTTTGTAATTAATTCTTCCGTCATATTTTTAATTTTCGATTTATAACAAATTTTATCCTTATTTTTATTATAATATGCAAAATTATTTCTCTGTCTTTTTATCTGTTTTTTGATCATATTTTCACAATATACGTCAGATTTTATTTTTTTCTTAACGTGGTCCTCGTTACTATCAGTATTCTTTCTTTTTCTCTGAATTGGTTCTATCGCAATCTCTTCACAAATCATTTCCTTGTCACACATCAAATCATTCTTTCGTATTTTCTGATTTTCATTCATCAAATTTTTTTGCTCACACATCATTTTTTCCATTAAATCATTCTTTCGTTTTATCTGATTTTCATTCATAAAATTTTGTTCCTCACACATCATTTCCATGTGACACACCATTTTTTCCATCAAATCATTCTTTAGTTTTAACCGATTTTCATCCGTCAAATTTTGTCCCTCACAAATCATTTCCTTATCTCACATCATTTTCATTAAATCAGAAAATCTCTGATTTTCTTGTTTCATAATTTGTTCTTTCAGCACCTGTTCGTCCTATCTAAAACTTTCTAAAACATCATAATGTCCATGATCAAGCGATCCAGAAAGTAACAATCTTAATTTATTATCATTATTACTTATTCTGTAATCTTTAATATTGTTAAATATATTATGGTGGACAATTACTTTGACATCATAAATAGACACAAAAGCCTGTATTTCTACTTCACAACCATAAAAACTATTTTTTGAAATGAGATTTCGATATGAATTTTTATCTAAAATAATTTGGTCATAAGACTCATCTCCAACAATAAAATTTTCATAAAAAAACCAATTATTTAAAATATAATTGACAATTTTCATTCTAACTTTTTGATGTTTTTCTTGGCTATTATATGAAAAAGATCGAAACAAACAATTTCCATCTGGTTTAATCTTTTCTTTAATATTCATTTTAAAAGTGAAATATATTTTCCAAAAATATTTATTTACCAAACAATTATAATTTATTTTTCAAAAAATTTTACTTTAAAATTTAAAATTTTAACTTTAAAATTTAAAAACTTCTAAAGAGTAACCAAACTTTCAAAACTTTTAATTTGACAGATTGAAAACAATTCTGAAGTTGTCTGCAGTTGTTTTGTTTATATTCAGTTACTTAATTTATATTTTGCCTATAAAAATTGTTCGAATTGTCAAAATTTAAAGTTAATATTTTTCAAATAGAAAAATGTCCAGAAAAAGGAATAATACTAATGAAGATATTTCGAATGATAAACAAAAAAAATTTTAAATTGATGAAAATGTCGAATTCACATCATCATTTTTTTTGCAGCAAAAAGTTAAGGCTGGAAGTAAGTTTGTGTAAGTTTTTTGACATCCAATAAATTATATAAATTATTCTAATTTATTTATTATTATAAAATTATAATTTCTTTTAATAATAAATAAACATTCTTTTAATAATAAATAATAGGTCTGTTGTGGGTTATGTCGAAACTGTTGATAAATTAAAAAATTTTAAATCTAAAAAAATGAGTCAAAAGATGAATTCGAACTATTTAAATTTATTGTAAACAATAATGACAATTAATTTAATAATGAATTTATCCCTTGGTGTAATGAATAGTAAGGAAGAAAATTTAACAATCAATCCAAGTCAAGTAGTCAGTAAAATAAAAGAAATTATTTTTGACGTTTCGACAGCACTGCTGTCCTCATCAGAAACTAAAAATTTATTAATAAAATATAAAAATATAAAAAATATAAATAAATAAAATAAAATATAAATAAAACAATATAAAATTAAGAAAATGTACAGTATTGCGACACACAGGCGAGACTTAAAACATGAATTTGATTGGAATGATGTCTCTGTTCTTGATAATGAACCAATTTGGCGAAGGAGACTGATCTCTGAAATGATACATATAGGTTTACAAGATAATCCTTTAAACAAAAAAGATGATACAAAATATCTGAGCCAATATTATAAAAATTTTTTTTCAAATTTTTATAATATCATTTAATTTTAATTAATAGCTAATTTTCACATCATTATTATTTCATTGGTCATTCTCTGTTCGTACAATCGCACTCGCATTTATTTGTTTATATTTTGCTATAAGTTCATTGAACTTTCACTGTACTTTATATATTAATGTAAATTTGTCGATTTGTGTTTAGTTTGTCTTTATATAATTTTATATATAATATTACATAATTTATATTTACATAATCTATTTTGTAATTTCCAAAGAAACTTCTTCTTTAAAATTTGACGGCAAAAGAATCATCAGATTTTAATGATGGCAATATGCAATATGAATTATTATTAAATCATGTTTCAAAAGTATCAATTTTGGAAAATTTTGATATTTTAAAATGTAATAAAAATGAAATAACAGAAATTAATTTTAATAAAGAAAATGTATTAAAATATACAGGATATATTAGTAAAAATGAATTCTAACACGTATATTGGAACTATTACAAATGGACAAAATAAAGTCATTATAAAAATTCAAAATTTTTTCGGATGAGTGCAACTTTCTTCTGGGAGAAAAACTTCGAATTGTTGAAATATTATATGAAAATGGTACATTTAATAAATTTAAATAATAACAATAAATAAATTAATAACAAATAACAAAACTAACTTTTTAAATTCAATACAGATGACTTGAGTATTGGAATTAAAGTTCACAATGAGAAGCAAATTACCATTTTACTAAATGAACCTAAAATGTCTTTGAATCTTTTATTGGAAGGAGGAGAATCAATTTATGAAAATTAAATTATAATAATATATACACTTGACTTAGATGTTAACATTAAAAATATATAAATGTTTCTAAATTTGCATTTTAAACATGAATTTTGAAGGCAAAGGAGGTCAAAGATCAAGGGTCAAAACTGCTCTTAAATTTGACCTTTTTAAGGGCAAAGGAGGTCAATGGTCGAGGTCAAAGGTCAACAATCAAGGTCAAGGTTCAAGGTCAAAGGGGTACTGAAACAGCGGCGAAATCTTTTTTAATATAGAGAGATATATAATCTATTGGGTCACTAACAAGTTAAAGGTACAGTTTATAAGTAAAGCTTTTATACAAACAAACTTCCCAATCTTAATTTTGTATTATATAGACTGTCAAGGGACGACAGCCCATAAAAAGGGGGAGTATAAAATACCACATTTATAAATATTTTTTTTAGGTATTTCACATTAAAAAAATTTATTTCTGTTGTATTTTTTTCTCCCAATATTTTTTTTCTTTAAAAATTGAGACTTTAAAAAAATTTAAGAAACTTATGTTTATAATTTAAAGATTAACTTATACGTATCGGAATTATATTCAAACAAAATGTGTCTCAGATATTTACATCTAGAACAAAAAAATAAGCATTTTTTTATTATTATTTTTACTGACTTAATTTTATTCATATATTATTTTGCTTTTTCTAAATCTACCCTCTATTGCAGTCGTCAACTGTTTAAAAAAGAAGACATAAAGAAAAATTATATACCACTCCATAAAATAATTAACAATAGAAAACACCACGTTTTTACTTATGTATCTTTTTAAAATAGTGTATTTGTTACGAACGAATTTCGTAACTTTTTAAAATTTTCAATTTTAAATAAAAGATACTTAAATTGAATTAATTATTGTAAGATTTAAATCACATAGTGATTTAAATTCTTTTTCTACTTATAATAAATTACAAATGGACTTATCAATAATATTAAATACAAACATACAACACAAACACAATTTTTCAAATTAATTTATAAATAAATTAAGAAACAAGTAGCTGTTCTCATTTTAGTATTGTTAAAAAAATTTCGAGAATGTTAAGAAATACAAGGTAAAGAACCTCAATATAGAATAAAAGACTTCATTTTAACAAAGTTTCGTAAATAAAGTTTAATCATTTCATAAATCAATGTACATTTGAGCTATATAATTGCTCAATACAAGGAGTGACTTATCGAAGGTGGATCACGCCAGTACCCAAAATTGCAAGGTTACAAGAAGTGTTTTAGCAACAGACAACTTCATTATAATTTCCCACCCTTTTCATCAATTAATAAAACCAATTGTTGATGAGAAATCAAGGAATATTGATTGATTATTGAGGACTATCGATTTCTTATTGATTTGAATATTATTGATTTGATTTGGTGAGTTTTAATGCAGTATAAATACACTACACAGACATTCACACTATTAAACACATTGTTTTGATACATGTACTAAAAGCATTTGATACTTATTTGTAAAATATATGTTTTTCTTTGGGGTTTAAATTGTGACTTCTTATTTAAACCAGTTCTTATATTTCTTTTTTTCTGATTGATCAAATTAAGAGTAAAAATAAGAATACGAACCTTAACGACATTCTGAATAATAGAATGGTAGTAGGAGGCATCCACTATATTTATAATTTTGGTCCGAAGGGCATGTTGTTAGCCTACCGGAATTTGTAATAAGAAAAGTTATTTTTTGTTTTATGATTGATTTCCATAAAAACCTAAAACCTTTTCTCATCAAATTCTAACCCTAATACAGTGTAAAAAATGTTTGGTTAAAAAACGTATTTTCGAATTTTTGAAAAAGTAACAAAAAAAATTATGTGAATATATTTTTGAAAATCCTTGTGTATGGTTTTAAATATCGATGACTAAAATTAGCCTACAAAATTTGATTGTTTTCCAATAGCTAATTCTCAAATATAAATTCTTTATCCATCCAAATGTTTCTTATGGCTCTTTTTTTAATTTCTTCAGTCAGCCATCGATAGATGCTCAAGCAACAGAGTATATGAGACGGACGTGAATTTTTAAACGTGTTTTTCTCGAACACAACAAAATAGTGTGTGATTAAACATTTTCAGGGTGGTTTTTATTTCTTTCATCTTTTGGATCGCTACGCTGCTGGATATTCAATGTTATTTGCTGTATTAGCTGAAGCGATAGCCGTTAGCTGGATATACGGTACTGAAAGATTCTGTGCCGACATCAAAGACATGATTGGATTCACACCTGGAGTCTATTGGAGAGTGTGCTGGAAATTCGTTGCCCCACTTTTTATAATTGTACGTAATAGTAAAATAATAAAACAATAAGAGTCAATTTTTAATAATAAATAATCAAAAATAAATTTACAGTTTATTATTGTTTATGGTTTAATGGGATACGAACCATTGACCTATGAGGGCTATATTTATCCGACGTGGGCTAATATTTTGGGCTGGTGTATTGCTTCCTCTTCAGTTGCCATGATACCCGGTCTCGCTATCTATAAGATTATTGTAACACCTGGAACCATCTGTCAGGTAAGATTATTAAATATTTAATAACTTTTATTACTATTCGTGCTCAAATTTATACAAATAAAGGTATTAAAATTCTACTACAGTAAAATATTTTTTTATTTGTGCTATTGCATAAATTTTTAAGGCGGAAAACACTTAAAAAATCGATACTTTTTATTCTATATAAAAGTAGGATTAAAAAATCTTAAATCGATATTCGAAATTAGCATTTTTTCTATAAACAGATCTTGTCAACGCTAAAAACACAAAAAAGATAAGGAAAACAGAAACGTCCAAATAAAATATTATTTTGATATTTTAAAATTAACATAGTGATTTTATCATATTTTAATTAAAGTCGTTATTATAATTTGTAATATTTTTTGTAAAATATGAATTTAAAGTATATAAGGTGCTGGAAACTGACACTTTTTCATCTAATAGAAAATATTAAAGAAAACATATATTTTCTATCAAAATATATGTTTATAAATTTATAAATAATAATATAATAAAGTTTATAAATAAATAAAATAAAAAATTACTAATCTTGGGGAATATCTCAATGGTCACTAAATACAGGCACTCCAAAAGTTTTGCTTTGGAGACAAATATACTTTTTGAGATAATAAAGTTTAAAAATTTCAATATTTTTATTAGGTTAATATATATAATATTTATAAATATGAAGTTCGTCCTTGATGGTTAATAATCTTGAACAAACTTCATCTGTATAAATATTACATGTATTAACCTGATAAAAATAGTGAATTTTTAAATCTTTATTATCTCAAAAAGTATCTTTATCTCTAAAGTAAAATATTGCGTGTATTTAGTGACCATTGCTATATTCCCCAAGTTTAGTAATTTTTTATTTTTCTATAACAAAGTTATTAACGTTTAAAATTCTTGAAAATCAGCAAAGTGCTAATTTTAATTGCTTAATTTTATATTTTTATTAAAAAGAAAAGAAAAAAATGCTAAGAAAAATTAAAAGTTAATTACAAGCACTTTATATTTAGTAAATTTTAGCATCGCGGTTTAAGAATATATGAGCGTTAAAGGTTTTATATTTTTCATTAGTTAGACCAATAATTGAATTTGCTTCATTGATTTGGTCACCTTACCAAGAATACTTATTAATGGCACTGGAACGGGTGCAAAATAAATTTATGCGTTTTGTTGCTAGACAGACGGGGATACCATTTTTTGATAGATTTAGTCATGACTATACTGAACTGAGAAGGATTCTGGGTATTCCTTTATTAAGAAACAGATTCTTATTTACTAATTTACTATTTATGTTTAAAATTATTAACGGCATTATTAACTGCCCTCCACTCTTATCTTTGCTAAATTTTGCTGTTCCTTTTAGACCAACCAGAAATCCAACTTTGTTCAGATAGTTATTTCAAAGAACAAACTATGGAATTAATTCTGTTATAAATAGGATAACAAGAGAAGCTAATGAGTACCACAAAAACCTTGATTTTTATGGTATTTCTCTAAGTAAATTTGTATTAAGCTACTCTCTGAAATTTTTGATACTGTTTGAGAAAGAACAAAACATTGTTTCGCACTGTCATTTTTCTTATGTTCTTTTTTTCATACTTTAGTACACTTGTACGAAAGGGCATTGCCCGTATATGGATGATTCTCCGCGTAGCGCACGTTTTGGTGTCTGAAACTTTAAAAATATTTTTTTATCGAAATGATAAATATCAATACATATTTTTGAAGATAAAGTGTCAAGAAATAAATATCCATGGTGGGCAGGAAAATTTTTTTAATTTTTTTAAACAAATTAAAAAAAATTCTGTGCTTGTTGAATTCTATAAAATAGTTGAAATTTGATTTAAAATGTTTATGGGAATTTTTGGAACAATTCATAAAAATATATATAGCGCGAACGACAAATAAAAATGTTGATTTCGGTAATTTACGGAAATTTTCGAGATAATTCATGGAAATTTATGCTGTAATTTATAGAAATTTTGTCTAAAATTCATAAAAATATATAAAGCATAAATCACAATTAAAAATTATTATTTTGGTAATTTACGGAAATTTCCGCGATAATTTATGTAAATTTTCGCGGTAATTTACAAAAACATATATAGCGCGAACGACAATTAAAAATTTTATTTGAGTAATTTATGGAAATTTATGCGGTAATTTATGGAAATTTATATGGTAATTTATAGAAATTTTGGCTATAATTCATAAAAATATGTAAAGCATAAATAGCAATTAAAGATTTTAATTTCGGTAATTAATGAAAAATTTTGTGGTAATTTACAAAAATATATATAGCGCGAACGACAATTAAAAATTTTATTTTGGTAATTTATGGAAATTTATGCGGAAATTTATGGAAATTTATACGGTAATTTATAGAAATTTATTTGGTAAGTTATAGTAAACTTACCGGAGCTATGATAGTTTATAATAAATATTTTTAATTTCGTTTGATTCATTGTGTATTAAACTTGGACTAGTGACGGTCGAAATTTTGTGGCGGGTGGAGACGCTGGGGTCGCTCGAACCGGTGGAACTGATGTTAATAATTTTTTTTTTTTTTTTGAGAAAATTATCATTTATTTTTAATTTGTTTCATATGTTTCACATAAATATAGACTAAAATAATATATATAACTACACTTTATTTAACCTTTATTATTTAATTATATTCTATTTTTTTTAATAATATTGAAAGGTCGGTGGATGCCGGTGGAGACGATTTTGTGATGCCCTGTACAAATTTGAATCTTAAAATGTGTAAAAAAAATTAAAATAAATTAAAATAAATTAGAAAATTGATTACTTTCTTCATGGATCAACTTAAGGAATATAACTTTTGCTGTTACTGAAGTAGAACTATATTAACATTTGACTTTTATTTAAATAATTCAATGTTTAATAATAAAACGCAGAATAACACACAAAAGTGTAGTCAAGTATAAATAGCAAAAAAACAAAGAGAATAATTTTTTTTTGATCAAACGTTTTTTTATTCAATTCCACTACAATATACAATACTAAAATAGCAATAAAAATTGTATTTATTAGTGCACATTGCTAAAAATATTAACTTTTTTGTTTTAACATCCTGTGGGGACAGGTCAAATTTTAATGTTTTTAGCCTTAAAAACCACTTTTCACGAAAAATTATAAAGTTAAATACAAAAATAACTATTGGTTTTTGTTTGTAGTCACAGAAATTACCTTTTTACATTAGATTCGAAATATTATGTGAATATTATTTGTGATTTTTCTTTCGCAACATGAAAAAAACAAGTTGTGCGCTACGCGGAGAATCACCCACATATATGTAAATAAATAAATAAATTTTATTTCATTTAATGATTTCCCTTTTTTTGCAGTATGACGTATAAATTTAATAAATTAAATAAATCTGCTAACATCAAAATCACTGGCCTCAACTAATAAAAATATAAGAAAATTTATTATATAAATTTTCGCCGTCAGGCGCCAATTAATTTTAAAGATAATTAATAAACTATTTTACATCCATTTCATCAACAACAAAACAACACCTCTGAGATGCTCTCAATCTCCAGAGGGAATTCTGCCAAAACACCGGCAAGCAGAAATACCAGCGGCGAGACACGACTTGGACAAATAAACGACTTACCCACGATGTATACCCGACCACGTGTCTGGGCTTCTCAGCTTCTCGACAGATCCACACAATGGTCCTCAAAGCTACTATTCAATACACCTTACACAGGTCTCTTCAAATTCACTTTATTCAGTATACAAAATAGGCACCAGTTCTACACAACTCAAATGTATCTATCACAATAAATATAATTTACTCCACGAGGTCCGCCTCGTGTAACACACGCGCTCGTACGTATACGTCTCTCCGCGACAGCGATCGTAATCGATAAATGGACGCCAAAGTATTGGGATTTTCGGCGTCTCTCTATGCCTCATCCCACTGGCTTCGTCATATTGCTGTCTCTCTTTCTCCACCGTCACTGTAGCCTCGCTCCTTCTCTCTCGCTCCACAGTGGCAGTGACCTCTATCCTAAACTAACAACCAAAATTATTCGAGAGAGCGACATACATTCAAATGACGATTCACTCCGTCACAATCCCCTCCCCATGACCGGAACTACCCCTGGTAGGATCGTCATATAACAACAACAAAAAATGATAATCTAAAAAGATTTTATTTCTTACCAAATCAGCTGCAACAATGGTCATCTCCCTCGATTCTCTCTGGCCATGGTTCACCCGTTGCTCTCTCTCTCTGTCCGTCTGTCCCTCCTTCTCTCACTCTGGCCGACTCCTTTCCTCTCTCTCTGTCCGAACTCCTTTCTCTCTCTCTGGCCAGGGACTCCCACCTACACATCCGCCCTCTTTCCAAACTGCTTCCTCCTCTCTTCCAGCAGATGGTTTATGGCCTTATCTATAGTGGAGGCCGGCAGTCCCGCTAGGGCTCTCGTGATCTCTAAGATCTTTGTCGTTAGATCCTCGTCATCACCCTTCTCCTTCATCTCTCTGTCCTTGACCTCTCCTGATGAGGTCTACTCCTTTGTTGGCTTCTTTGTCTCGGTCTCTTCTCTTTTATTGACCCGCTCGACTCGGTCAACCACCTGTCGCCGTCTCCTTGCGTATGCCTCTGCACAACGCGGACAAGTCTCGACCGTCACCAATCGACGACCACAATTTAGGCAATATGGCCATCTTTTGGTGTTCGAACAGGCCTCCAACTTATGGTCGAACCTCCAACACTGGAAACAGGCATATGGCGGGGGGTCGATTGCGCTCACCGTGGGAATTGCCTTTAAATTCCCGAAGATCAACCGCGAAGTTTTGATCTTCAGCGGTGTCCTCCTTGTTCCCACCTCTCTACCTCTTTTCTCCTCTACTCTCTCTGGCCGTTGTGTCACTGTATTTCGGGAATCCCGAGAAGACTGAGCGCTCATTGCGTTGACCGCTTCTCTCCTTACAGGTTCCCGACGGTTAGGCGGTCCGGGATGTGGGGAGTG